ACCCAAGGATGTCAATGGCCTTCCTAATCTTCCGCTTCCTTGTGTTGTCACCGTATAGAGCTTTCCTTACTGCTGCTTTCCAATTGATCTCGTGTCCAGTCCGTGCGATGTGTTCCGCTAGTTCTGATCTTTCGGTATCTATTTTCCTGCAGAGCCTCTGATGTTCCTTGATTTGTGTGCTAATTTATCTCCCTGTTTTACCAATATATTTCTGTCCGCAGCCGCCGCATGATATACAGTAAACTCCCGAACAGTCCTATTTGTCTACCCTTTCATGTTGCGTTGGTAGACTTGCGAAAAGTGTTGATTTCTCCTTCATGCCCACCTGAATATTCCATTTACTCAATATAGGCCGTGGTTTTTGAGTTAGTTCACAGGAAGGCAGGCATATCCACTTTTGTGGATCCTTCATCGTCCTTATTATCCTTTCATAGTTCCCGTTCTGCAATCGGCTTTTCATGGCCCGTATGTTTCTTTGTATCACTTCGTATGGGTAGCCATTGCCGAGGAAGATACTATTCACTTTCTTTAGCTCCTCGTCCCAGAATTCTGCATCTGTCAGGCGTAGGCTTCTGATGATCATGCTTCTCATTAGTCCAATCTTTAGCCTGTAATTGTGATGGGACCGGAAATTGAGTATTATTCCAGCATAGGACTTCTTTATGAACAATTTCTTTTTCAGCGTTCCATTAGAACGAATCACTTCCACGTCCACGAACGTTAACCGGTTACCTTCCTCTATTTCCAATGTGAATTGAATTTTTGCATCAATCTGGTTTACAAATTACAGAAATTTATCTAGTTTTTCTCTTCCATCTGACCAAAGTGCGAAGTAATCATCCAGGTACCGCATGAGCACTGTCGGTTGTAGCGGTGCCGTCTTAAAACTCCCTTCTATTTTGTTCATGTATATGTTTGCCAAAAGTGGTGAGAGAGGTGATCCCATGTGAAGTCCAAATATTTGTTCATAGATCTTCCCGTTGAATGTAAAATAGGTTGTCCCTATTGTCAAGTTTATTAGTCTTGTTAAAGACTCCCTCCTGATCCGTTGTGATTCCAGGATTTCTAGTAGGACCGTTAGTGCATTCTCTCCAGAGATATTTGTATACATGGATTCTACATCAAAACTTACCAATAAGTCAGTTTCTTCCAGTGCCATGTTTTTGATCTATTGAGTAAACTCATATGCATGTTTGACCGTGTTTAATAGTCTCTCATCTAATTTCTTGAGTTTCAAAAATATAAATTTTGTCAATTTGTGTGTTGCTCCATACTTATTTCTGACTATTAGCCTTAGTGGCGCGCCTTCCTTGTGTATCTTCAGTAATATGTATGCTGTTGGTGGTCGTGCATCCTTTCTTATGATTGAATTTCTTGTCCAAACGTCAATTTCCCTATTCATATGCATATCTTTTAGCATGGCACTTAAGATCCCATTGATCTTCACAGTTGGGTCCTTGTTTAGCATACGATATGTGGTCCTGTCTTGTAGAATGTCTTCCATCTTCTCGGTATATTGTTTTTTGTCCATTATTACTGTAGCTTCTCCTTTGTCCGCCTGAAGGACTAATTGTCTATTTTTATCCAGGGTTTTACGTATCCCGACAAATCTGTTTCTGTGTGTAGGCTCCTGGTGTGTCAAGATCTTTGGAATTAGTTCCATCTCCATTTCTCGTTTTGCCTCCTCAGGGTACTTGTCGGTGATATTGATAACTTCGACCAGGATGTCTCCTATAAGGCTCCTGTGATGTGGAGTTGAAAAATTGAGTCCCTTTTCCAGGAACGCGGTTGTTTCGGGATTGAAAGGTATTAATGATAAGTTTACTACTTTCTTCCTATCCCCATGCTGATCAGTAAGTGTTGTCACTTTGGAAACCATTTAAACTGGGCGTACTGTCCTCAACTTAGGTTGTCTAAAAATCCCAAACTTACATAACTTATCTTCATGCCGTTTTGTTATTATGTCAAAAATCCTACGTGATTTCCTGTCTGTCATGCTCTGGAGTTTTTAAAAATCTTCCGGAGACAGGATCCTGGCCAA